AATAAATGCAGTTTTTGAGCGAAGCATCAATACACTATTTTTGACTGAAATGGTTCGAGGTCTGATGCTGACGCTCAAGTACTTCTTTGAAAAGAAAGTAACGGTAAGTCTAATTCTGCTTCTACTATCTTTTCCTTTCAGCCACTTGCTGATTGGCTGGGCTCCATCTCACCTAAACATGGTTTTTACATGTTATGGTGTCTTTACCTCAATTGAGCAGAAAATCCAATAACCATTTTCACTTTGCAGATTAACTATCCATTTGAGAAGGGCCCTTTAAGCACTCGTTTTCGTGGAGAACATGCTCTTCGGCGTTATCCAACTGGAGAAGAACGATGCATTGCGTGTAAACTTTGTGAAGCTGTAAGTGCTAGTTTGAGATAACTATAACAGCTGAAACAGTGAGATACAGTTGCCATAGGGGCTTTGGTCTAGTGGTAAAGGAAGTACAATGCGAGAGTCTGGTACCAGTTTGAACCCTGCCGATGACTTAGACCTAGTATTTAAGTGGGAGGGGGTAGAGGGGTGGGCGCATACTCTCGAGTTTTGGACCTGCACGCCAAATGGGGCTGGGATAACTAACCCACAAGATTTTTCAGTTTAAAAAAAAGGATAGTGCTACATGTTATTCTTTGCGTCTTGCTTACGTCCAACACTGATCACCGTTGGTTACCCTCATGAATTATTTAGATGCCTGCGTAATCATGTAATAATGTGAGACTTTGAGAAGGTAGAATATCAAAGTTGGTCTTGTATTTTTGAAATTGATATTAAACTGTTTGTATTTTTGGTAGCTTCTACTTTTAGACTTCAAGGTATAGTGTATGCACTTAAGTGTACACTCTCAAAATTTTTGTTGTTGTGGCACTAATTTTCTTCACTGCCCTCCCTACTAAAAAAAGCGTATAGCGGTTGAAGAAAGTGCAAGATGGCCCTCAAGACTTTGGTCTAGTGGTAAGAGTGCAACGTATAATGTGCGGGGTAGGCGCGAGTGACTAGTTTGAATCCTGCAGCGGACTGCAGCGGACAAAAGCCTGGTATTTAAGGGGAGAAGGGTAGAGGGGGAGCCTAGTATCCACCTGGTTTGCAAACCGTGCATCACCACCACTACTGGCCCTTGGGATTTCTTGATTGACCGTAAAAAAAAAAAGAGAAAGGGTTCAAATTGCCCTAAGATGATTCGATGGAGTGTAGTTAGTTTATTGCATTCAACCTTGAAACATCTCATGTTTTCCGGATCAGTTAGCATGGTGATTAAAGGCAAGAGTTGATGATGTATGCTTTACTCTCAAGGTTGTGAAAGCTGTGACAATTACAGCATTCTTGTCTGGAAAAAGCAAATGCAGTTTATGCTTTATAGAGCAGCTCCAAGAAGTGTAAATGGTCACCGGTATGGTGAATGCTTAAACTTAGTTTACGTTGTGACAACCCAAACTAGAAAAAAAGGAGCTGCCATGGACTAGACCAGTGATCTTGCATCCTCTCTTCAAAGGATTGCTGCGTCTACCATTATGAACTGTGCTGCTTCCTAATTTAATCTATGATTCATGTCAATGATGTTACTAGCCTACTTCAATTCTATATGGTATGATGTGTCTTAAGTACTGAAACAAATAAAAATGGAATTTTAACAGATTTGCCCTGCTCAAGCTATCACTATTGAGGCCGAGGCCCGAGAGGATGGGAGTCGTCGGACGACTAGGTAGACTATGGGCGGTTCTTTCAGTGTTATAGTAGCTACTCAGACATCCATCACCCATGCTTATGTGTAAATTGAATTTTACAGGTATGATATTGACATGACGAAATGCATTTACTGTGGATTCTGCCAAGAAGCCTGCCCTGTTGATGCAATTGTTGAAGGGCCCAACTTTGAATTTGCAACTGAAACTCATGAGGTTTGTTGTAATAAGTAAATTAGCTACAGTGTCAAAGCTAAAGTTGAAATATTCAAATAATCTATTTTCCGAAGCATGAAAATGTGGATTATAACTACACTGCTTGACTAATGCGTTGCTTAATCCATTAGGAACTTCTTTACGACAAGGAGAAGCTTCTTGAGAATGGTGATCGATGGGAAACTGAGATTGCTGAGAATCTGAGATCTGAAAGCCTCTACCGCTGAGTACTTTTGAGTTGAGATACAATGAAACTTTCTAGCTTCTGAGTAATTAATAAAGTAAAGGAAACTGTTGGAAGTCTGTTCCTTGTTTTTTGTTCTTTCCCTTGTCTTTCTGTTGTTGAAATGGCTCTATTTAGTATATACATACAAATTGGTGAAAATATGGAGCTACATCTTTTTATATTTGAAAAGGTTGATGCTAGTGCTTCAAGATGATATTTTCTGAAGATCTTGTCAATTTAGTTGATTCATCAGTGCAATTATATATCAAACATGGTGTCTCTTTTAGATGCCCGGTTAGGAGGTGCCAGAGGTTGCCCATGGCGAGTCAGAGGAGGGGTAGAGGGAGGCCTAAGACGAACTGGGGTGAGGTGATTAAGCAGGACATGACTCTGCTCCAACTTACCGAGGACATGACCATCGATAGAAAGGTGTGGAGGTCGAGAATTAGGGTGGCGAGTTGATAGACAGTCTAGAGTTTCGCCTTGTCTTACCAGTAGTAGTAGTACTAGTCGGGTCCTAGTCCCTTGTTTTTATACGGTGTGTCATTATTTTCGGTAGGATTGGCACTTTTCTTGTCGTTTCGTATCCCTGGATTTCTGTTATTACTCGTTGTATTATTTGCTCCCATTGTCTTATTACCTTGTTGCTATTGCTTCTCTATTGCTTCATTTTTACTGTTCTTGAGCCGAAGGTCTTTCGGAAACAACTTCTCTACCTTCGTAAGGTAAGGGTAAGGTCTGCGTATACACTACTCTTCCCAGACCTTACTTGTGGAATTTTACTGGGTTTGTTGTTGGTGTCTCTTTTAGGTTCAAGGATTGAGTGCTTATTGTATAAGACGGGCTGCTCCTCTATTTGCTCACTGTTACTGTATTTTCGGGATTTCAATCTTACCACTTGAACAATGATGTGTCATATCAATATTGGTAAACTTTAGATAGCAATCCTTTTATCTTGATCTGCAAATTGTGTTTGACTCAAGATTACAAGCAAAATCTGAACCGGTACTATCTTGATATTTTCCACAACCTTTTTATACACAATTAAGTGAAGTAAAGTAAACTTGGAGGGTAGGAATTTTACAGCACGCTCTCATTAGTTTCGACTATACTTTGTTTAAAATGTCTGCAAAATAATATATCAGAACAATTCTGGAAAATAAATGTTGGAGCAAGAAAAGCGGAGGGGTGTGTTTTCTAATCCAAATGCAATTACTCTCTATGAAATTATTGGGCAACAAAGCTTACACTTGTTCATTAATTATGACGGTTTGGTTTAGGTAGGACGGCTGGCTTATTACGGGACGCCTTACTCTTCAGCGCTACGCATAATTGGCTCGAGTAAAGGCAGATGTTGCGCAAGACGAAAAATCAGAGGTAGCGCTAAGGTTCGGGGAACCCACTCTTCTTCCTTGCGTTCAATTAGGGACAAGCTATTTCTAGAAAACGGTCTTATATCTCATTTGAGAATTATATCCAAAAAATTGTCGTCACTGTTAATCAGTTTGGAGAGTGTTTAGATTTGTGTGTACTTTTGTCTCAGAGGGAGATTATTACTATTAAGGAAGAAATATTAAAGAGAATAATGAAAAAAAAATCGGCAAAGGACCAAATATACCCTTATACTATGAGAAAATATTTAAATATATTCTTCTGTTTACCCGAAAAACGGATAGAGTTAAATTTATACGTAGTTTTAAGGACACGTGGTATAACTTGGTACAAATTGGAGAAATAAGTAGAAATATATCAAATATTGATTGTAAAAAGGGAATGAAATACAAACCCTAAATTGAGTAGAGAATGATTTATAAATGAACAAGATGAACCAATGTAAAAAAAAAAAAACCCCAAAAGGATAATATCTACTATATGTGTGTAAATCTCAATAATATTTGAAATGTGAGAGTGTATTGATGTCTGAATGTTCAATGTGTGATGGATCCCCTTGCAGAAATGATAGCCACTCTTAATATAGTGGAGGAATCCTACTTTAGATATTATTAAAAATACATAGTGGAGATTCTATGATAGATTAGTTAAATAACTTTTCCTTAATTCCCGCCGAGATTCTCTCCGCTAGTGCGGCTACAACGGCTCTTTGTCTCTTGGCTCGATCTTGGTCGGTCTCTGGATCTCGAGCTCGATATTGACCCGAGCTCGATACTCGAACTCGATATTGACTTGAGCTTGATATTGACTCGAGCTCGGACCACTTCTCATCATAGCTCGCTATCGACTGGAGCTCGATATTAGCTTGAGCTCGGTATTGATTAGTTCATGAATCTTGAGTTCGATAATCTAGCTTCACATCATATCTCGATATTATAATGACGACCCTCGGTCCATCATGTTCAAATCTTGACTAATTATACGAAGGACAAACTCGATTTTGACCGTATACACCTTCATTATATTTTAGGTTCAAATATACCCTTGTCGTAATATTATTGGTTCAAATATACGCCTTTTCTGTTAAGTTTGTCCGAGATGGACATCCAATCCTACGTGACAGTGATATTTGATGAGGTGGATGTCACATGACATGCAACTTCAGCGCCCCTAATCCATATATAAAAGATTAAAATTTGAAATATAATATTTTTATGGTAACGGTAATGGTGACAATAGTGATAGAGAAAAAGAAAATTTTAGTAGGAAAAAAAAAAAAAGGGGTGAAATGGGTTAGGGGCACTGATATGGCAAGGTACGTGACATCCAACACAGTCAAAAAAGAAAAAGAAAAAAGAACACTTTCCAAGTGAGTTACAACGCAGAAAAGACATAATTTTCTACTTAATCAGATACGTGTAGGCCCTCAAATCCGATTGCCTAAACTTCAGACAGCAAACATAATAATATTCCACATCCGCAAAATTTCTCTTTTTTCCCCTTTCGGCGTTTCAAAAGTAAAGACTTCAAATAACTTTATCACAAACATTCTCCACTCAATACACATACACAGTTACACACAGAGAGAGACACAGAAACATCACAACAACACACACACGATCCTTAGATCTACTCTATCTACGAATCACAACTTCATTTCTAGAGAGAGAAAGTTCTAGAGGATAGATAGACAGCTAGAGTTTTCTAGCTTCATGCGTTGACGTTGCCGATGGATGAGAAGTTGATACAGCGATTGGAGTCCGCCGTCACACGGCTTGAGGCACTGTCAGCCGGCGGCTTCAGCGGAGGAGTTTCGCCGGGGGAGGGCGAAGCTGCGGCTGTTTTAGATCCGTCGATTATTGCCTTTGACGATCTGAGGTCTCAGTTCGTCGGGAGAGTTCGAAGTGCTGCAGAGAAGATTGGAGGGCGAGTTTTGGATGTGACAAAGATTGTTGAGGAGGCTTTTGAAGCTCAGCGTGAACTTCTTATCAAAATCAAGCAGACTCAGGTTATTAGCTCTCTTAAATTAGTTCAATATATCGAACGTTATAGATTGAGAGGTTTTTGTATAGCTGATTCTTACTAGTTTGAGATAGAAACGTAATTGATTGATACACTTTAACTGTCTAAATTCTGATATACTAGTTGACTGCGTCGATTAACAGTTGAATAATTATGATGGAAGTTATATTTACTTCGGTTTGTCTATTTAATTTTAGTAGTACAAATGCTAGAACTTATATAGCATGTCCCTTTTGTTTTGTCATTGTTGTATTTCATGTGGTTTATTTGTGCATCATGAGTGGAAAAGCACGAGTGATTCTTACAATATATGAATAGTCTAATTTGGAGCTTCGGTAGACTCGTTTCAAGTGCATTGAGGTGATTGTACTCGAGCTGGAATAGGTCTTGTTGGTGAATTCTGCTAACTGAAACAGTCAGGAGATGTCCGACTTTTTGGATAGGACTTGTAATTTCTCTGGAAAGAGGGGTTAATTTGGAGGATAAGAAGTCTCGTTTCAACTGCATGGAGAAGATAGAGCTCAGAAGCAGAATAAGTCTAATTGGTAACTTCTACTTATAAAAGGGGTCTTATCGGTAACTTCTGCAGTTCTGCTAATTGAAACAATCGTGAGCTATCCGAGTTTTTGTATTGCACTCACAAATTTTGTCAAAATATAGGTGTTGATTTTATCACTTTGAAATGTAATATCTTATGCAAGTTATGTGGAATCTTTCAAGTTGATCTCCTTTCATTTAATGCAAGACACATACTGCAGCTATAGACTGTTAATGGACTATCTGTTAAACAGCGTGCTGTTCATTATATAGAAAACATAGTGTTGAGATGTCTTGTTGTGATAATGTGCTCTGATTAACAAACGAATCTGTTACGTGTTTGAAATATACTTTTCTTTCTTATGCACCCATATTATGCTCACTTTTGGTCTTGATCGTGCAGAAACCTGACATGTCTGGTTTGGCTGAATTTCTTAAGCCTTTGAATGATGTGATTGTGAAAGCTACAAAAATGATAGAAGGACGGCGACCTGATTTCTTCAATCACTTGAAGGCTGCTGTTGATAGTCTGACAGCCCTGGCATGGATAGCTTACACTGGAAAGGATTGTGGTAGGATATTCTCTAAGTTCTCCACTTTGTTAAGTCCCAGTCCACTTGTTGACGATGTTGGTGCTCTCTAGGTTTGAGTATGCCTATTGCACACGTGGAAGAAAGTTGGCAGATGGCTGAATTTTACAATAACAAGGTAATTGGACTTCCTCTAGCTGCTCACTCTTTCCTCTGATCATTCTCTTGCTTGAGAAAGTATTTCTAATATTTTTGTGGCCTGGCCAAAATTAGGTGGAAAGGAACCACGATCATTTTGTTCATACCCTAAATTTCCTTGATTGATGTTGTTTCTTGAATTTACGTCCTTTATTTTGGGGGAAAAGAACCATTTACACCTTTCTAACCTTCCCGCCATATGCCCTTTTATGCAATATCAAGAAGTGAATGCTATTTTTGGTGCTTTGGATTGGAGCAAAACGTCTTCCATGGAAATATTTAACTTTGAAATTTTTTTCTCTGTCGGTTTCTAGTTTTTGGTTGGGTGTAAAAATATGTGATATATGGTAATAGTTCAAGGTGTAGGATAGGGTATAAAGATCGTGTCTTGGTGATATATCTTTATTATTGAAGGCTACAGTCAATTTCTAAATGTTGGACGCACATCACAAGTTCAAACCCTGCCATTGACATATAAGTTTCTAGTATAAGATGTATGGTAAGCACAAGTTACGGTTCGAACTCGAATCAGTGAACCCGGCTTGGTATTTAAGTGGAGATTGGTAGAGGTATGGGTACAATATCCGGCAAGTTTCAAAGTTGGAAACAAGGATTTCTTGGTTATAGACGAAAAAGAAGGGGAAAAAAGCAAGAAAGAAAGAGGCAATCTGTTAAGTGCTCAGCTCCGTCTGCTTTGACTGAACAAAACATAGCAGACATATGTCAAAGTCTGTGTTGTCTAGCAGTCTGAATCCCCTAAAAAAACATCATGAGAGGTTGTTGCGATTTGAAGTGAAGGATGACGGGCATCTAAAAGAGTGGAGGAGGGGTGTGAACTCAATCTATAAGGAGGGAGGAGAGGTCGAAAGGGCCGAAAGCACCTATGGACAAAGTGAATACTTCAGAATTTTGAGTTCCTAGAGGCCTCCTAGGAATTGGTGGTATCTGATCTCGGAATTCTAACAGAAAATCAAGGCCTTCCATTACCAAGTTCTCGATTTGTGGGAGGGCTCCATGAGGAAGTCAAAGCCAGAATCACCAAATGAAGGCCGGAGGTTAGAGTGGTGGCAAGGATAAAGGATTGATAAGAGAGGGTGAATTTGTAGCTAATTGTTTGTAGAACGGTTCCCAAACAAGTGTAAATCCACTTATTATTATTCTGAAAACTAAGTTGCTCGGACTCTTCACTTTCGGTGCCACACCGTGTCAACACGACGTGAGTGCTAGTGTGGATGTGGGTGTGCTATCCGTACCGGATAACCAATTTTGGGTGCTCTGACCAAAATCGACCTATTCGGGATAGGTATAACTTCGTAAAAAAAGATCGAGACGGATACAATTATTTCTAAAATCAAAACAAAAGCTAGGGTGGAATTAAAAAAAATGGAATACGAAATTTCTATGTCAGTTCTTTTCCTTTTATCTCCTTTGGATTCTCCTCTTGATCAATATGTTCTCCTTCTTGGAATACCTTGTAAGTTTTCCACATAATATCTCATAATTTAGACATAACAACAACAACAACAACAACACCCAGTATAATCCCACATAGTGGGGATGGGGAGGGTAGTGTGTACGCAGACCTTACACCTATCTCATAATTTAGACATATTTTTATTATTGTATTTTTTAGATATTTGAATTATTTTTAGCACATAAGCTCACCCTAGTGTTGTAGTTGAGATTTGAACCTGGAAGCTCTAGGTTATTACACCCATGCTTCAACCACTACGTCATCTCCTTGGGGATTTACAAAATGTATTTTATCTTTGTTTCCATAATTTTAGGACTCCAAAACAAAAATGAAAAAAAAAATACCAAGAGTTGATTGAGTTGCCAGCTAGAATAAAACAGTAACCAAGTCCATTCAATCCTTGATGGAAAAGGATTTTCTTCCGAGCTGGAAGATCATATTCCAATTTATTTTCTGCTGTTTGGTTTCTGTTATATATGTTATTTTGCCCTCATTAATAGCGCACTATATAAAGTGTAATACTGTTCTAACTTCTATTAAAATTTCATGATATATAGGTCCTTGTGGAGTTCCGAAACAAAGACTCGAATCATGTTGAATGGGCAAAAGCCTTGAAAGAGCTTTATCTCCCTGGCTTGCGAGATTATGTTAAGAGTCACTATCCGTTGGGTCCTGTATGGAGTGCTACAGGGAAAGTTGCTGTATCTGCACCACCAAAAGCTCCCACACCAAGTGCTCCCATGCCTCCTCCTCCACCGCCAGCTTCTTTGTTCAGCTCTGAATCTCCCCAGGCTTCATCATCACGTCAAACGAAAGGGATGACAGCTGTTTTTGATGAAATTAATTCGGGAAAGCCAGTGACTTCTGGTAAATTCAGCTACCGTCCCTCCTGTTTAATGTAGATATCATTTTGCCCTTAGTTGATTTTTTTTCTTTTGTCTAGGATTGAGAAAGGTGACAGATGATATGAAGACAAAGAACTGGGCAGACAGAACTGGTGTCATTAGTGCAGGAGGAAAGGAAGGTCATGTTAGCTCACCCTCTTTTTCTAAAGCTGGACCTCCGAAATTGGAGCTTCAGATGGGTCGTAAGTGAGTAAAACTTCTGCTTTCAATTAATCCATGCTTGACCACAACAACAACAACAACAACCCAGTAGAATCCCACTAGTGGGGTCTTTTGCAGACCTTACCGCTATCCCTCCGGGATAGGGGATTAATCCATGCTTGAGATTAGGTAGATATGCTTCTGACTTTGATGTTGTGTTTGCTCCAGATGGGTGGTCGAGAATCATATAGGAAAAAAGAATCTAGTCATTGATGATTGCGATGCAAAGCAATCTGTTTATATTTTTGGTTGCAAAGATTCAGTTCTGCAGATCCAAGGTAACTTCATTTTTCCTCTAATATAAAGTACTGGTACAATCTGGAGAATGATGAGTTGGTTTTCAGTGTTCTAATATGCAGAGATGATGTTTGTTTGATGTCACAGGGAAAGTCAACAACATAACAGTTGATAAGTGCACTAAGATGGGAGTTGTATTCACGGTCAGTGATTGACTTCAAAAGGAGGGAATACATTGTTCAAGTATTAATGGTGGTTCTTTTCTAGACCTAAGCGCTTATTTTGATTTATAAATTTGGTGGACAGGATGTTGTGGCAGCTTGTGAGGTTGTCAACTGCAATGGTGTGGAGGTGCAATGTCAGGTATACAAATAATGCTTTCCTTTGAGGTTTACTGATGTTTTTATTTGAACTTCATTTTTATGTATCATGACCTCGTGATTGCATTTTTTTCTGTTGTGTGGGCTCTTTAGGGTTCAGCACCAACAATTTCAGTCGATAATACAACTGGATGCCAGTTGTACTTGAGCAAAGGTTCTTTGGAGACTTCCATTACAACAGCCAAGTCAAGTGAAATCAATGTTTTGGTTCCTGATGCTGGACCTGATAGTGATTGGGCATGTTCTTTTTCCCTTTTTCTTAATTATCTATTCATGTATTTCTTTTTGTGCTTGTGCTAACTGCTAATCATCAAAATCAGATGTGAATGAACTTAGAAGCTAATGACTTCCAAATGACATCTCACTTGGTAACAAGTGCTTAATTGAAATATACCTTACAAGTGTGTGCATGAAGATAACTCATGCAATTTTTGGACATATATATTTGAAGTTGAATTCAGAAAAAATTATTTAAATCAGAATTTGGTAAAAAGTTCTGTAAGTGAAGTTATGTTTTGAAAAAGAAAAGTTTGTGAAAGTAGAAGATCAATGTGGGTGTAGATTTTGAAACTTCAAACCACAATTCAACTTGAAAGTTTCTTTCGAAGTTCAAGTTTAGATTTTGTTCTCAACTTCACTTAAACCAACTTGCAACGTGAAGCCTCTTTATGTGCAAGTGAACTCATTGACAAATGCCACCTTGGTGTTTTGATACGGGACAAAACAGAAAAGGAGCTGCTGATGCTTATAATCTGAGTTTTCTGTTATTGGTTTCAAGCATAGTTCTGTACATACTTTACACCATCTAAAAACTGTAAGGTAAGCTGTGAGCTAAGCGCTGAGCTGAAGCCAAACCATGTATTTTTAAAGAAGATCCTGCTATGTCTGTGTGATATTCTCATCTTCTTGTCGTGTTTTTCTTTCTTTTCTTTTTCTCATTGGGTTCTTTTTGCAACATCTTGAGTTTCACACAAGCAAGTAAATCTGAAGACGCCCTTTTCTCCTTGCAAAAGATGATGATATTTCCTTCCTCTTATTCAATCAGCTTTAGATGAACAGCACTTGGCATCTTAACTGATGGGCAAGGATATATCATAGTAATAGTGTAGACTTTGGAGTACCTATGTCCTATTAACAAAAGGGGCTGAACTTATTTCTGGCAGCGTAAAATCTATCTGTGTTCCCTGTTTCGAACAGTTTTTTTTTTCTTTTACTTTTTGTCTTTGTGATGAGGTCGAACTAGTTTAATATGGGCAATTATTGCAGGGTGAGCATGCTTTGCCACAGCAATTTTCTCATGTATACAAGAATGGCCAATTTGTGACGACACCTGTCTCCCATTCTGGAGGTTAACTGGGGACAATTTCGACATTCAATTTCTTATGCTTTTCATATTATTTGCCAATTTGATTAAGAGTTTTAAAGGGTGGTTGATTGTTTTCTTTCTTGAGTGTAAGTTATGTCCTCATCATTGTATCTTGTGCATTTTATGCGCATCTCCTGTTGGCAGTTTTTTTAAAATGAGTGTCTGTGACTTTGTTGTTGTAACACGTCTGTTTTTTTGTACTAAAGCTTGATCTTTGTAAGCCATCAATTTTCTCATATATTCCTTTTAAAGGTGGTAATGTTTCTACTAATGGTTTATTCAGCAGATAAGTGCAGATTTTAAATTAGGCAGTATTGTGATTGTGAGCAAAATACTTGTCAATATAATGTTATCGGACTGGTCATTGTTATAATCTCTTATTTCTCAGTTCATAAGGTCTGCACTTGGATTCCACATTCCTTCAGCTGAACTAATGTACTTCCTCAAAATATCATTCTTAATTAAACCTTTCCAAAAGAAACTAAAAATGAAAACATAGCTCGGCTTGGTTTCATCATTCTTATGCTTTGTCAAATTACATTTCTTGTCTGCCAAAAACTATGTTTTGAAACCTGTGTTGAGTAGTTATGATTCTGATATAACTTTAAACGAATTATGTTAAACTGAGAGTAACAGGCAATAAGGGTTTGAAGCTAAATAAGAAAATGATCTCAACCGAATGATTATTAATGCACAGAGCAAGATATCCTCATAAATTCTAGCTTCTAGCTGAAACTTGCCTACAGATGTATAGTACATATACAAGCAATTGACAAATGGGTACGTTATATAACTTCAATTAAGAAACATAACATATTGATAATGCGCACTATTGTTGTCTTAAATTCCAAAACAAAATAAAATGACTCAACTTATCAACAAACTAACCTATAAAATTACTATGTCACGCTGCTTTTGACGAGCAGCTATATACATTTACCACCATCAGTCTAATGTATGTTTTATGGTGGAACCGTGGAAGTATATATACAAAAAACTATTTTTCAGTACCTAAAGCATCCTTCGAGTCTAGAATGAAGGTATGTGTTATATCTACACTTTATATTTTATAAATAAAAAACAATGTACTGCAATTAGCTCAGAAAGCCTTGCTTTGCTTCCTTCCTTCTTCGCCCTCGAAGCGAAGGTAAAGACCAAGACACTGGGGATTCCCAATCTGACCGCACTTTCCTCAGGTCGGACGGCTATAATTTTAACTCTACTCATCTACATTCACAAATGCTGTGCTCAAGGGCTGCATGTTCTTAGTTATGCTTCACCTCTGGAATGGACAAACTCACCAGTCGATCCATGTTGACTCCTTGTGAATTCTTCACTTGATATTTCAGATTTCTTGAATTTTTTTATGTCATATGAACGTCCATCACATTCAGAACTTTCTCCTGATCCAGGTATTCCACTATGACCTGGTGTTGATCCTTTATTTAAATCATCCAATAAAGAAACATCACCTTCCAAAGTACGTACAATCTGCAAATTTATTATCAATAGTCAACAAGCCATTTCTAATACTCGTATATTATATGTAGGTCACGGGTTCAAGTCGTGGAAGCAGCCACTAATGCTTGCATTAGGGTAGGCTGTCTACATCGAGGGGCGGAGTTAGAGTGCCGGGAACGGGTTCGGCCGAACCCAGTAGCTTTAGTTCAAACCTTGTATTTGCCTTAAAAAAATCTGTTAACTAACTTAGAACCCTATAACTTAATAGGATTAGAATCCCGGAATCATAACTTAAAATCTTGGCTTTGCGGACTACATCACACCCCTAGGGGTGCGGTTCTTCCCAGAATCCTGTGTGAATGCGGAATGCTTTGTGCGCCAAACTGCCTTATTCTTTTTGTATATTATATGACTCACATCTCTTTTTACTAAATTAGGAAATCCAATTACTAATAAAATGGGATTTTTATGGTGATTTGAGTACTACGACAACAACAACATACTCAATATAGTCCCACAAGTGGGATCTGGGGAGGGTAGAGTGACCTCAGCCTTTAAAAAGGCAGAGAGGCTGATTTGAGTACTATAGAAAATATTAGAAAAGAAAACTTACTTGACTAATTTTTGGACGTCTTCTAGCAGAATGTCTGATTGATGCAGCAGCACAAGTAACCATGCATAGCATTTGCTGAGCATCAAATTTTCCTTCCAAGCGTAGATCTATTAATTCATCATAATTTCCACCCTCTGTTGCACGACTAAGAATTGGCCTAGCCTGGATATGTACGTAAATATAAATTTACAAATTAATAATTTCATATAAAGTAATTTAAGGCTAATTAAATTTTGTTTCAAGCAGAAAAGATGAAGATATATATACCCAATCAACTAAATTGTCACCGTCACTGTTGACATCTATAGGTCGACGTCCAGTTATAAGTTCCAATAGCATAATACCATAAGAATATACATCAGATTTTTCTGTCAACTTTCCAGTCGAAGCATATTCTGGTGCGAGGTACCTATATTTTGAAATAAAACAAAAAAACATTTCAAGTTTTCTTCAATCTCTTCAATCTATTGTGGACAATATATATTAAAATATGTCATATGTATAATTTTTTTAAGACAATGGAAACATCAATGATACAACAACAAAAATAATAACTCAGTGTAAATCCCACAAGTGAGGTCTGGAGAGAGTACTGTGTACGCAGACCTTATCCTATCTTAGGAAGGTAGAAATGTTATTTCCGGTATACCATCCACTCAAGAAAAGATGAAAAAGAAGCAGTAACAACAAGTAGTAACATCAACAATCCAACATGAAAACCAAAGCAAAAGAAATAGAGTAGCAAATAGTAATAGAAATCTACGAATAAGAAAATACAAGACTAACACTATTACTACTAGTATGAACAAGGAAACACTCAACTAGTCTTCCACCCTAATTCTCGACATCCACGCCTTCAATGATAGAAAGCAAATAATTCGGAACAAAAGTTTTTTGTTATTCTTAAATGACAACTAAAACAAAAAAGATAAAGCAAATTAACTCAGATATTTAGAATGCTTACCCAAAAGTTCCCATGATACGGGTAGACACATGAGTAAAGTTATCGGCTGAAAGCTTAGCTAACCCAAAATCAGCCACCTGATGATAAAAATGTTTTTGTTAGGATCATAATAGAGCTGAACATTGTATTAAGCTAAAGGGAAAATACCTCTATTAGTAACTTATGTATATATACCTTGGCTTCAAAGTTGTTGTCAAGTAGGATATTTGCACCTTTAATGTCTCTGTGTATAATGCGAGGGTCGCCTGCAATTTATAAAAGGATTATACAACTGATGATGATGTAAGAAGGAAAGTCTTCTAACAACAGTAAATAGTAAATTGTCTCCAGTGTGATCTATAGGTCACAGGTTCAAGACGTGCAAGCAGCCACTAATGCTTGCATTATGATAGGTTGTTTGTATCACACCTCTTGGGCCGCATGCGGCTTTCCCTGGACCTTGCGTGAACGCGAGGTGATTTGTGCACCGGGATACCCTTTACAACTGATAATGTAAATATTTTTTTATATTATCTATGTATTTGATTTAACATTTAAGGGTTTAACTTGAAATCTAATCTTTTCTCCCCTTTTACTGGAAATTGTTGCTCCCTGATTGTTACTATTTGATGCTATTTTTTCTCCCCTTTTTCCTTATTGTCTTTTGTCTCCCTCGACTTTCTTTCTTCCCCCTCTTTCCACCTTTTCTTGAGCCGAGCGTCTATCGGAAACAACCTCTCTACCTCTCTAGGTAGGGGTAAGGTCTGCGTAACACTACCCTCCTAAGATCCCACCTGTGAGATTATACTGGATTTTTTATTGTTGTTGTTGTTGTTGTTGTTGTAACTTAAAATCTAATCTTAATAAAGAGTACTTAACCACGAAGGGAAAAATTAAATATCTCAATTATCTAGAGGGAAAACTAAGTAAACTTACAATCTTCATGAAGATAAGCAAACCCTTTGGCTGCTCCTATTGCAATTTTAATTCTCGTAGGGAAATCCATTACTGCGTTACCAGGTCCTACAAGGATGTAAAAGGAGATAAATTTTAAAGAAAGGACTAACATATTAAAAAAAATAATATAACCAAATTAGAATATTATAGTTTAAAGTGTGTTTGGTATGATGAAAGTCATTTTCCATGAAGAGTATGTTTTCCTTAAAAATATTATCTGGTTAGAAAAAATACCATAAACTTACTTTTTTATGAAAAACATTTTCGCGGAAAATGGCTTCTGTCATACTAAATACACAGCTAAGTAACATTTAAAAAAAAACTAAATTAGAATATTACAGTTTTTTAGGTGTGTTTGGTACGATAAAAGTCATTTTCCACTGAAGTTTTTTTTTTATTTAAAAAAAGTATATTTTTCTTGAAATTGTTTTCTGGTTAGAGAAAACACCAGAAACTTACTTTTTCATGGAAAACATTTTCGCGGAAAATGACTTTATCTCGTGCTAAACAGAGTGTTAAGTAATGTTAATATCATACCATGAAGGTGATATTCAAGAGTGTTGTTAGGAACAAACTCATAGACTAACATCCTTTGAGATCCAGCAATGCAATAACCAACTAAAGACACAAGATATCGATGATGTACACGACTTATAATTTCAACCTCAGCTTGAAATTCTCTTTCTCCTTGTCCACTATTAGATTTTAAACTTTTTACAGCTATCTCTTTACCATTAGGCAAAACCCCTTTATGTACAAATCCAAAACCACCTTGTCCAAGTAGATTAGCCTTAGAAAACCCGCCAGTTGCAGTTACTAAATCATCATAAGATAAATTGCTTTGGGTAAAACCAAATGATATATTTATTGGGCTTGGAGGTAGAAAATTCAGAGGTTTTCGTTGTTGTTGTTGTTGTTGTGTGCCAGAGAAATCAGCAGAGCTCGTATTGCTCATTGGTGGCGGTGGTGGTGGTGGTATTGGCCAACTATATTCTGAGCTTACTCCGGCACTATTGGTTGGAGGGGGTATTTTAACAACATGTTCTGAAGATTGGACATTGTTGTTGTTCCAATTCCCATGTTGTTCATTGTTATAATAGTCACCACCTGTACTAATGTGTGAAACTTTGGTTAGAGGCCAAACCAAAAAATGGCAATAAGCAAGAAAGCTAACAAGATTAAGAAGAATTATCTACTTCGAATTTTTTACACTAGAAGGTCACGTACCTTATTTTTCATGTTACTAATTTCACTTATTACGAGTCACTATACTTAATGATCTTATAAATTAAATGACTTGACAGTCTAAAGAACTTTTTATATTGTCAATGTACAGTGGTTAAATTCCTATAACCTGTTTGACCAAGCTTCTTCAAGGCAAAAAACAAAAATGCCTTTTTCAAAGTTGAAGTGTTTGGCCAAGCTTTTAGAAGAAAAAAAGTGGTATTGAGTAGAAGCAGAAGCAGTTTTGGAGAAGCAGAAAAAAGTAGTTTCTCTCCAAAAGTATTTTTTTGAAAAATATTTTTGAGAAAAATACACTTAGAAGCAGTTTTTAAAAGCTTGATCAAACACTAATTGTTTCTCAGAAGTGTTTTTCAGATTGATTGTTCAAACACAAACTGCTTCTCACCAAAAGTACTTTTGAGAAAAACACTTTTGAAAAAAACACTTCTTAAAACAAGTTGATTTTAGAAGATTGCTCAAACATGCTATTAAGCACAAATAATGGACTTGACTAATATGCTTTTCATTATTTAGGCATTGAATTCAGTGTACTGGCTAAAAAAAAGTATTTATATAGCTAAGATATGATGTAAGGAAAAAAAAAAAACATTATATCAGCAATATAACAATATATGTAAGGTAATTAGAGATGAAAAGAGAAAGGATTTATACCCTTGGCTCTATAAGAATTGTCCCTGTAGAAGCCCATTTGATCACGTGGCTTTCTTCTTTTCCTTTTACAGCAAGATATTACGAAAACTAGCATAACAAGAAGTAATAGTCCTGCTGCTGCAGCAATTCCTATAAGTATTGCTTTCTCATGATTATTGTCACTATCATTTGAAGAATGTTTTGGTANTGGTGGGGGTGGAGGTGATTGCGATCCTCCCTTAGATGAATCAGACGAATGCTGAGATTTGTCATTGTCGTTATTGTTATTGTTATTGTTGTTATTGTTATTGTTATTATTGTTATCGTTATCGTTAGGAGAAACGCTATTACTATTTGCAGAAGATGAACTAGGTGATAAATCGTCATTAGATGAAGACATTTTTGAAGAGGCCCTAGTTATCCTATAGGTAAAAGAACAACGTCGTATAGATCCTTGCCACTCTCCCAAAATAATCAATCCTGTTGAAGAAATCATGACACTAATTAATCACATGTAAAAACATGCCACTATATTGGATTATCATAAAACATCATCAAATTCTTCCTTAACAATGAATATGAGGCATCGTAATAATGATATATAAATCAAAGATTAAGAATGTTAACAAAGAATTAGAGAGAAATTAAGAAGAAAAAAAGGAGGAGGAGAGGTGATACCTTTAATTTAGGAGAAGGGCAGGGAGGATTCTCAAAGGAAAGAAAGGAGAAAACATGTTTACCTGATAATAGTTTTTTTTACAAAGCAACTATGAGTCGTTTTTTCCTTCCTCGTATTCCTCCTAAAGTAAAGGACTAATTACTATTTTCTTTTGTTATTACTACTAATATCTTAAGGAGAAATAACGGCTTTCGACCATATGAGTAATTATTACTTTATTCCTATTTTGATCTCCGTGTTATTACCTTTGATTAAATCCAGAGTGACAAGACGGGTTGCTCAAATGATCAGCACCCCCACCTATAATCATAGACTCCTGGATTCGAGTCACTAAAGAAATAATAACTCCAACAAAGGGGATCAAAAGGAAGTGAGTTATCTCAAAAAAAAAAAAGGACGTAATTTCAATCCGGTTATTAACCAAGGCTAACAGAACACTAAGCGCATTTTTTGAATGTTTGGCAAGGTCTTGATTCAGAACTCGTTGACGCTGTAAAGCCCCGTTTCGTTAACTTTAAATACAAATTGTTAATTGAGCGTCTTCATTTAATTATCAGAAGTAGTTCTATTGAGCCTGGAGGTGTTGCTGTAATGTATTCTTTATAAGTTTTTGTTGCTCCCAAATGCACACGCAAGTATATATGGTCGTATAAGTAATAAAATGATAAGTCGAGTGTCGAACCCACAAAAACTTGTGTTAACTACTCACTAGTTTCACTAAGATTATTATTCAGTCAAGTATTTCCGACTTCAAAAGTGTGATTATTCTACGCAATAATTCTAACAAGTAACTATTTTATCAAGCAACAAAGTGGTTATTGTGTATTCAGTAGAGACGAATATTCCAGGGTTGTGATTGATTCACCAATCCTATTGTGTTCTAATTAACTCTCTCTTTCATACAATTCACTCATGGTTGCTAATTAATCGAACAATTGCTCTCGCAACCTTCTCCCGAAGTACTACTCGCTTATTCAAAATAGATTAACGCCTATATTCCTATGGAATCAATCTATTAAGAATGCATTACGATTACGATATTTAATTAAGCACGGTGACTAGATATATTCCTATTCTAACCACAAATCCGCCCCCTTAGAGTTAAGATCATGCTCTCTTCAATTCTTCTCTAATCTAAACATGGCTTTCCCAAGCATAACATAGATAGTAAATAAAACCTAACTGTTGGCCAGGCAATTAAGCAATTAATCATAGAATTGAAGAAACAATCATATATTAGTGAATTGTAATAAAGGTTAAGTCAACTTTAAACGACAATATTCATGGCTAAATCACAACCCCAAAACTATGGGTTGTAGCTACTCATGATAGTATCAAAACAAAATCACAAGTGTTGAATAATTAAAAATACTAAGAAAAGATGAAGAAAACTGAGATATCCTCGCTCCTGGATGTTCCTCGTGTGTATTTTTCCTTCAAAGTGGCGTATCCCCTCTCAAAATAGGCTTAGTCTTGCTTTTATACGCGTTGGGTAGGTCATGGGACGAAATAACCTTGTCCCGGGAAAAGTTGGAGAAGTTTTCGTCACCAGCGCCCAGGACAGTGTGGGGCGTTGGAAAAATAAGCATTCTGGAAATGGCGCCACAGGTAGCGCCCTACGCTGCCTGTGGCGCTACAATGGCCAATGTTTCATCTTTTGCTTCTTTTTGACTCTAATCTCATACCTATAGCCCCCTATTACCTCCAGATGATTCTTACATATAAAAATATCATGAATTAACATAAATCAATACATTTTGCATCCAAATCCACGAAAAACGAGTAAAACATGAGGCGATATACATATAAATATATATACTTCAAGCTAACTATCAACACCCCATACTTAGATTCTTGCTCGTCCTCGAGCAATTGGACTATCAACTACACCCCAATAACGTACACATCTCAACTAGAAAGGAGCACTTTAATTTTTAACCATACACTCTACCCTTGACTATGATTGATACCGGCAATCAAGCACTAACATACAACTTTCACATTCTTCTCGTTTCAAGCATGCCCAAGTATAAACATTTCAATTCAATCAATTCAAACAACCGATCCATCACCACCCTTCCTCAAGAGCCGACTCGTTACCACTAAGCACCATCAACTCGCGCACTCACCCAACAAAAGAAGTTTACAACATCACTAATCCTTCATCAGATCATGTGCCCTTACCAACAAACAAAAGAGTGAATATAGAATAGTCCACACATTCATGTATGCCCTTGAACATATTTAAGGACATCACACAATTGAACAAAATTCGCTCACTCTCACAAAGAATTCATGTATATCCTGTGGTCGTACCATAAGCTTGCCCGTAGTATACATCTTTACTAATCTAAGCTAGCCAAATATATGACCAATTAGAACTTTAAGGTTGTAATGTAGGCTAAAGGATATGTAAGATACATTTAGGAATAGTGACTAACCTTCCTAAATAATTTAATACACTACACTCATAAATCAAGCACACATTCTTCTCAACCAATTCACTTGCCACAAACCATATACAACATAGCCCTTTTTTCAATTAAGCACTTCTATACTCCCACTAGCACGAATTAGTAAGATTAGGAGGTGTGTATTTTTCTACATTATTTGAACTATCATTTTTTTTTCTTGCAACTTTTCTTTTCTTCTCTTTTTTTTTTCTACACACACTCCATACATTAAGGTTCATCGGCTAGTGACCTTTTTTCACAACTTTAGTGCACCTTAAGGGCCCTTCTATGGCTCTACATGAAAGTTACTCCCCAATCTCTTACCTTATTTCTTTTAGCGACTAAGTGCCTTAGGAGGTAAATGTTCAACAATCTCAAATTAAGAACAAAATAGGGGTGCATCTTGTAATGTGAGTGCCAAAGAAAAGGTCTATAGGCTCAAAGGGACTAGCAACGGAAAATTTTATTTTTAAATGACAAACACATCTATGATCAAGCAAGAAACAACTATGTCATCTCCTAGACTAGCGCAACTTAATGATTTCGTTTCGATTGACACACGGGGTAAGTTTTAGATTACACACGATAGCATAGAAGATCACAATTCCTCTTACACACATTGCACATGACTCAATAGAGACGTTCTGTTCAACTCTCAAGTCAAGCAAGCACATATAGTTGAGAAATTTTAAGAAATATTGCACTATATGGTATACAAGTCGAACAACTGAGAAAAAGCTTCAAAAGTAGGATATTTATTTTACTCAGACATCACAAATCAAATCAAATATACGGGAAGACAAAGCGCATGCCATAACCTAATGTGCAAACACCAAACACGTCAACAGGCACCTCAGAGCAACTCAGTTTCTTCCTAACCTACTCCTAAAAAAATAAAGTACCCGGTTCAAGCTACACCCTTGGAATAGAACCGACGCCCAAAGAAAAACCAAAGGATACTACCTAACTATCCTAAAAAAAAAAATCTTTTTGGTGTTTTGTATCAGACTTTAATCCCTCAAGTAAANCCACCTTACTCTTGGGGTGACTCGAACTCACAACCTCTTGGTTGGAAGTGGAGGGTGCTTATCATCAGAGCAACCCACCTTGTCAAATATATATATATATATATTCCTTTTTTCTTTCTTTCTAAAACTAGACTAAGTAAAAACTAATAAAAAAGAAACACATTTATACAATTTATACAATGTACATCATAAGAAGTACTTCTCCCACCCCACACTTAGCATATGCATAGTCCCCATTGCATGTAAAAATGTAAAACAAAGTAGGGTGAAAAGAAAACTCTCTGCTAGTTGGATTCCTTCTCTTCGGCATGCCCGCCAGCCGCAGCTCCGGGCTCATCATCATCGTCGGCTCCCAGGGGCACTAAAGCCATGGGCCCCGTGACTTCATCACCAATCGCATCCTCAGTGTCAGAGCCTTTGTAAGTGTTCTTATCCTCTGACAGGTGAACGAGACTACCAAGTGCAATCATCAATATCTCTTTGGAAGAACTAGACAAATCATTGCGTAGATGCATACACTCCTCGTCTGATACACCCATCCTGCTCATAATCACATTTAAGGAGTTATATAGATACCTGTTGAAGTTCTCATCTCTTTCATTCTGTGCTGCCTGGGTAAGATTAGACGTGGTCTCCAACAAAGATGTGATATCCATCAACCCCTTAGGAGCCTCCACAACCTCGTCATGTACGAGGTATTCAGGCACCACCTGGGACAACATGTACTGCGTGAGCAAGTTGCCAAAGAAGAATCTCTTGATTTGCCGCCCAAATCGTGTGCGGGCCATCTTCCCTAGCATGATGTCACCCATATTGATGGTTCGCCCAGTCATCAAAAAGAATATCACACATACTCGAGCTCGAGTGCATTCACTATTGTGTTCAACTAGCATGAGTCGGACATGTACAAAATTTTTTGCCACACTTTGGCGGTCTTGTTAAAATCGAAGCGGAGCATCTTCAGATGGGCATCGCCCTTAGTTCTGGTCCACTTGGCATTTTAATCGACGCCACAAAGAGTGTGATGTATCGCCGTGTAGCTTGGGC